CTACAATTAAAAGACTCTGCGAAACACATCAGCTATTCACTTCTAGGACATTTAAACATTTAACACGCACCTTGAAGTCATATCAATCATCTGCCCAGTTTGACAAAGCAGACAGCCTCTAATGTTACACTCCAACCCCCCAACACACACGCACATTTAAAGCTGTGTTTGGATATGTTTAGAATGTGTGTGATGAAATGGCACCAGCTGTGTACACTGGAGGGATGCACAAGGCCCCCTGGTTGAGCGGAGAGTTAACCCCTTCCCTCCCCATGAAGCACGGAGGGCAGCAAAGACAAAAGAGGCCTGGCCTGCTGTGGACACAATGAGAGGTTATTGCCCTGGGGTCTGTTGCTGGAAAAGTAAAGTACTTCCCTAATATCCCCCCCCCCCCCCCCCAACCCCCCAGTTGTTTAAAATCTTTGTCGTTTTAGTTTCCCTACATATGCATGGGTCAGCAGGGCCCACATGAACCATGAGCAAGGCTTCTGTTTCACCTACACCACTTTTTACAGGCTCAATAAAATCTGCTGATAATTGCAGCTGCAGGCCTACATTATCATGTCAAGTCTTACAGTCTGAACAACTTCCCTAATGATTGTTTTTACAGCACAGTTGGTCTTTCATATCATAGGGGGAGTGGATGATAAAACACAAAGGACATGGTAAATCACTTCCTGCCTTATCTGTGTTCTGTTTGAAAAGTTAGCCGCAATAGAGGATTTGTCTTGTTATAAAGTACTTGAGGTTCAGTTAAAAGCATCTATAAGACTTTACTGCTACTTAAATACTACAGAAGAGCAACTTGTGCATTTGCTTACAACACCACCGACCAAGCTATTAACCATTCTAATATATAACTCAGTCAATAATGATTACAACCGCAATCTGATTTCAGGCTGAATATGGCACATGGAGTTTCCCACAACAGCATGGCCAAATTAAAAGTGTTGTAATGGAGGACTCTGCCACTAGAGAGTCGTTACTATATATGTATGCATTGAATTGCTAATACACAGAAAATGGTCACCATAAACAGTAAAAAAGATTGGGCAAGATTTCATGAAAATAAGGAATATAGTTTGAATTCAAATTAAATTTGTTGGTTGAAATGCTTTACTAACAAACGGTTTAAAGGTGGGGTAGGTAATTCACTTCAGAAACACTTTTTGTTATATTCCATGGAATGCTCTTAACATCCCGATAGCAATGAATACATTAAATGCTTTGACAATAAATACATAAAAAAATGTCATCTGTGGAAGCCGTGGCGCTGTGAAAAGCACGACCAATCATCTGAGCCGGCCCGGCTAAAATAACTGGATGGCCTACCTGCCTGTCAGCCTTCCATCTTGTGCACAAACTTATCTTGTGCCCTCATTGGTCATGTGCGCGTTCGTGTGTGTTGGAGGAGGGGCTCTGTAAGGAAGTCTGAAGGAAGGGGCAGATTTTTTTTGGCTGCGTACTTTCAAATTCTAGCGCACTCGAGCTGGTTTCTCCATTCGTACCTACCCTACCTTTAAGGTCCAATTACATTGCTCAGCATCAACAATAATACAGTCGGGGACATTTGATGATGTCTGTGTGCACCTTTCCATCTACTTTTTATTGCTACTATACGTTTTAATAAAAAGCTTTGTGTCTATGTTTGTCTGTATGTTTCTGCAACAGTGCCATACAAATAGTATGATAGCGATGCATTTCAAAGAAGTCTCAGTGGGGCTGGTATTAGTTTAGCAAATAAACCTCATGTGTTAGCACTGGTGCAGGTGAAGAGTTTGTATTAACATCTGCTTGTAGTTTAAGTCCCTCTGTGCCTGGAGGTAATGAAAGTCCACACTATATGGTAACTTTATCTGAAACATTATTAAACCGTAAGGAAAAAAAGACCAGATGGCTATAAATATGGGAAAAAAACACTGAGTCTCTTTCATGAAACCATTCAAATCAATCACATTTGACTTTTACAAATACCAAAAGCAGTCGAATCCAAACAGCCTCTTGTCTTTGGTTGATGCTGAGGAGCTTGCCCAGAAAAACCACATAACTCAAAATGTCTCGCATCGCTGGCAAACCCAAATTGAACAAATGAAGATGAACTCATTGAGTTTTCTAACGTTAATAGGGAGCTATTTTATGTTTTACTGACTAGTGCCAGGTGTTCTTAACATGAGCCAAAGAGCCAGTAAAACAGAGAGTCATTATCACAGATAAAACTGAGAACAATGTAACTTTAATTAACAACCAATGAGTAAAAGTATGAGCATTGGCAGGTGTGGCCTTTACTGAACAGTTAAAAACTCTCAGAAATAGACATTCACATTTGCTGTAAGGGGACTTTTATAAACAGATCTGTGATTAATTATATCAGATGACAGCAAATGTGTTTTATGAGTTTATTGTGTGAGTATTATTCATCCGTGTGAAGTTGTGGCATGTTTCTCTTCAGCACTGCTGTTTCTCTCTCATCTCTGTGCCAAAAACAGGCTGCTTCATTAGTCATGACTGCAGCACCTAATTAAGTTTGTGCCACTCGTTTGGATTTTTCTGTAAATTTAAAAGAATCTCTGATGTTTCAAAGTGCCTCTGGGCCCTTCTGTCTCTGTTGTCATTAAAATTGAACATTTTCTGTGCCAGCGTTTTGACAGGGTATTGCCTGTTTTTCAAATCAAAACTATGAATCTAAAGAAAGTGTTGCTGCTTGCAAAAGGTGCTGTGACAGCCTATAAATAGATTAAAAGAAGTAATACTTCAGTTCTGCAGGACTTTTAAGCATGCCATACCTCTTGGATGACTATCAGATCTGCGTTGAGCTACCTTTCAGCGAGTTCATTCAAATAAATTGGAGGCTTATTTGAAAGATGCATGCAAAAGAGCCTATTTGTTCACCATGGAGAGGCATTGTAATTAGCATGAAATACATGCGTTGTACTCTCCTCTCTCTCTCTCTCTCTCTCTCTCTCTCTCTCTCTCTCTCTGTCCAACAAAACTGGTGGAGATACTGGATAAGCACCTTCCCACCACCCTCCCTCTTTCTCTCTTTGCCTCCTTTTGCATTGTGGCCAATTACTGTTACAGATGGAAAAATTCACTTGACCTGGGGAATTTATGAGCAGGAATAAAATCGTACTTGGACTCTTACACCAATCCAAAGCAATGTAGTTAACATTTCTCAGGGCTGATGAAGACATGATGAAATTGGGCACATATGACAACTTGGCCAGATGACAAAGAGCTGATGAAACAGTGAAACAAACCTGGTAACTGTTTAGAGCAGCATCAGATTGCATGGGCGAATAATTTGGGAGCGGGTGGTGTGTGTGTGTGTGTGTGTGTGTGTGTGTGTGTGTGTGTGTGTGTGTGTGTGTGTGTGTGTGTGTGTGTGTGTGTGTGTGTGTGTGTGTGTGTGTGTGTGTGTGTGTGGGGGGGGGGGATGTTGGGGCTAGCAACATTTAAACTTTGTAAAAACAGCACGCTGCATTAGTGTCATTAGTCTGTCAAAGTGATGTTCCCTGTTGCTGGGTACAAGGGAGTCAAGCTCCTGATGGATTGTGGGTCAAAAGGTTCAAGTGTAACATCACTGTGAAAATACCTCAAACTATCCTCTGTGTTTTACATAACCTCCGCCTCATGCTAATAAACTTTTAATACCTCAGCAATGGTATTATTAAAGAGCTGATTGTATACACATGTAGGAAATAGGGGTGAGAATCAACAGAGGCTAGACATGTCAATATTATCAGGATTTAAAAAATGTTGCAATAACATATTTGTGAACATTCTTTTTTTCAACTGCAAATTACACAGATCGCCAACATCTGTTTTATCTAATAAAGTTAAGTTTTATGAGCATTTACGTTTTCTTTCTTTCATTTCTCGATCTTTGATTTGCACAGCTTCCTGCCAACCCTGCTGACCTCATCAGAAAAAACTCCATCTAGTGGACTTTAATGTTACCAAAACATGCAATTTATATTTGCAATCTTAATCATTTTTTATCATAAACAGATTGATACTTGACATCTGTATATCAATAGAATATGCCACACAAAAATATCGCGATACAATTCTTTCCCCCACCCCTTAGCAGGAAAGTGAATTAACTTGTAAACAATGCAGCAAATAGGCTGTGTGCCCTTGGAAAGAGTAGATAAAACTGTGTGATACATTATGTGGCTGCCTTATAGTATTGCTGTCTGAGGGGTTTAGTGATGCCATGTTTTAGATAAGTGCACAGCACAGCGCAAAACTGACAATGAATGCATTCATGCTGAACAGATAGAAGGTGTGCTGTCTATTTCCCTTTCTGTATGTTTGTGTTTATATGTGTAGCTTTAAAGTGAATTCAGTAATATATCCAAGCATTAAAACAGCAACCCTGCTGTGCTGAAGCTACTTACAATCTCTAAATAAAAGTTGTAAAAGTAAAAGGCAATAAATTATAGAAGTAGCTCACTAACATGCCAAAGGGTAAACAAGTGTTTGCACAACATGGTATTCAGTGCATCCTGTTGAGGGTCTTGTTACAGGCTCCCAGTGCAGCAGAGCAGAGTACTCATTTGACACTTGATCCACAGTATCTCACTATCATCACATTCTAATGCATGTACTGTGTGTAGAGTGCTGATGCAGTGATCCATCACTGATGTCTAGGAACATGTAACTGTATAGCCAACAGCGCCCATGACTGAGGATCACATCTCTGGTGAGAGTTTAGCAGTGTGGCCGGTATGAGCCACTTATACACTTGTTTTTACCTCTCATTCTCATTACTAATGCACAACAGCAAAGTTTGTGGCAGGAGAGGGAAGAATTCATTAAGCAACTCTAGCAACAGTCATGATTAGTGGCTGAAGTCAAGAGGAAACAAGTGGATGTAGCTGATAAATTAAAATATCATTATTCAAGTGTTTACTCATTAAGCCCGGAGTTACGGTAGTGTTTCTGCACAAGCGTGGACACACAACACAAAACTAGACTACAGCACACTGCTTTCTCACCTTATTGAAGTTGTAGTAGCCCAAACAGTGGGAAAAATCCATGTTTGGTGGTTCTCCTGGAATAGAATTCCCACCAGCCGTCGGATAAAACCGTACATCCATGATGTGTTAGGGAGCCGCGCAGCTGTAGCCTACTCTGCCCGGAGAGCAATGTGTTTCTGCCGCTTACAATCCCAGCGCACACAGAGACACGGAGAAACTGACCCAAGCTTGGTTGGGATGACTAGACACTGCGGTGGTGGGGGTAAAGTTAGAATATTCCTCTTCTACACCTGGTTCAGTCGCTTCATCTCTGAGGTTGGAGCCTGATAAGCTGTCCGTCAAGCAGCAGCAGAGGCTGTGTGTTCATGCATTTACACACAGCTGCTGCTGTATACAAAGAAGCCACGAGACCGGCGACTGTGCGCGTGGGTCCACCTCCTTTTCCTCCCCCTTTGCTTCAGGGGCAGGAACAAGAAAAATGTAACAAAGTGGCTCAGCACCAAGTAACTCCTGCACGTCAAAACAGAACAGAAACGTGTCCGTATCCTCCGCAGAACTTTATTTCTCCAACTTAGAAAACTAGTTGGTGAAGCAGTTTGAGTGCAGAGTAGCTAGCTGCTAAATACTCACTGTACTGGAGGGTTTGTACAACAAGCTAAACAGCACTCCACAGATGGTGTAATTAGTGATATGATGATGTAGTACACAAGTGTTGGAGCTCAGCCCTCGGCTCTGCCTCTGGTAGTGATGATGAACAAAATGTGTGAACACCACAGCCACTCCCCAAACACAAGTCACTCCCATGAAAACACTGCATTTAAGTCCATGTGACATGTTGGCATATGATAATTGTAATTACAGGGGTCTCTTTTTGTGTGCATGTGAATGTGCATTTTGTTATATTAACTAACCAACATATATTCCCACATCATTATTTAATGTGGTTTCTCTGAGAAAGTTGAAGTGACACCAGTCTATGTCAGTGGAAAATTACATCATGTATTTTAAAGTATTATACATGTCAAACAATACTATACCTCATATTCACTGACATGCTGTATCCGACACTGTTCATTTGTACATTTGTTTAGAATTCTCATTTCCACATATCATATAGTTACAGTATACAGTATGTACTCTATTGTATAGTATTTCATTTTACATTCAGTTTTATCTTATTCTAATTTAAATGTACATACTTTTCTTATTCCTGCAACTTACTTTAACCATTATGTCTATTGCAATAATATGTTGCACCATTTTATGTATTTAGCTTTTATGTTAATCTTAGTGATTTGCATTGCAAAGAGTATGCTCTATCTATTGTGCTTATGGAAAATAAAGCTTTTGAATACTCTGAATCCTATGATGCAAGACTTTTTGGGTTTTACACCTTATTTAAATGTCATACTTCAGCATACTGCAATTTGTTCGGTTTTATTGCACTAAAACAGAGACTTGATGTTAGCTATCTAGCATCATCACAGCCCAGTGGTGTGTCTGAACCACAAACCTTTTTTCAGTTGCTTTCTTCCAGTCTTCCTCTTGTTTATGTATATTGAATTGAAGTCATAAAGCTCCAAAATCAACGAGACATTTTCAACTTGTACAGACGCGTCTTCACCTCAAGACAAACTCACGGCTGTTCTCCTTTATTCACGTCTTGATTACTTTCACCACCTCCTGAATTCACATCATGTTCTGCTTGAATATATTATTAGTTCCAGACTAAATGCGGTTCTTAAAGTCATAAAATCAGTACATTTCTCCGAAGCCTATTTCTATTTCTTTATGTCCAGGTCCAGTATATAAATACATATGCAGGACAGAAGCAATTTCATGGTAACCAACTTCAAAAAAGTTATTAAGTACACTTGCTCTTTCATTTACAGTGTTTGCACTCTTACTAGTGTTTATATATATATTCAGCTGCTCTACGGTTTTCCGACAGTGGGACAATGTAATCATACAGATACACTTTTTGCACTCAATCTAAAGTTACCGAGAGCTTGTGCTCTAAAGTGCAGGGACTTGTAGAGTAACAATTTCTAACCAATGTCTCCACAAAGCTGAGCAGTTATAGATATGCCCTGGCTACGGCCCTTTCATAACCCCCAAAACATGCAATCATAATAGCAATAAGCTATTAAGTAATTATGAAAAATTTAGCAGAAAAGACAAATAGACATTACAAAACTAAGGCGGAGGTGGTGTTGCTTTGAGGTCGCTGAGAAAACACTACATCCTGGTCTTGTTATCCTAACTTTAGTATTTGACTTGATTTCGTTTTTTTCTAGACTGTGTACTGTAAACAAAGTTAATTCAACAACCCTCTTTATTTTATTTTGTATTTAACCTTTATTTAACCAGATAAAAAGCATTGAGATAAAATCTAATTTACAATGCTGACCTGGCCTTGAAGGCAGCAACGTTACACATAACACATAACACAGACATATAAAATACAGAGAACACAACTAAGTAAACAAAAAAACAAACGAAAAGCAGTCACTACATTGTGCACATTAGGGACAGTAAGAAAGGTACTACTTATTACTGCAAGAGCAGCTGGTGGTAAGGACCTCAGACAACTTCAATTTAAAACAGGCTATAGGGACAAGTGCTGTCAGTTTGAGGTTTGATTGAAGGTCATTCCAAGACCAAGGCCCATAATGAAAAAGACTCCTTTTTCCAGCCTCAGTCCGCACGGCAGGAACCTGGAACGGTATCCAGGCACTGGATCTGAGGTTGTAAGAGTCACAATCTGGAGCAAATCTGTATGACATTTCCAAAATGGACTCCTATTAATATGTTTTCTTAACCGAAAACCCTGTTATCAATGTGTTTTTAAGTTGAGGCAAACTACAGCAATCATCAAATGGGTAACGTGGTGCCAAAATTAAATTGACATTTTTCATCTTTTATTTGGACAGTTGACAAAAATGTAAACAAATGATCATGATAAAAGAAGTTATTCGATTGAAAATGTGTTTTTCAAATAAAATGTATAAAATGTACCCTTCTGATTTTGTTTTATTCTCATTTGCTGAGTCAGAGATTATTTTTAGCACTGGATGAGAATAGGTGTACACCTTGGGATCCATTTATTTCGAAAACCTGCAAAAAGTAGGTAGGTTGATGTTAACTGTTAAAACCGAAAGCAACGCCTGTGAGTAAAACAGGTTGCAGTAAATATATTGGCATAGTGTGAAATGAAATGTGTTGACTGAAGAGTTTTCCGAGAATTTAACTAAGACATCTAAAGTGGGAATATATCAAACAAGAGGAATAGTTAATTTGAGGACAATTAAAATGATATAAACCCCACAAAATCTATTTAGCATAGACATGTTCACTGCACACATCTTGAGTTTGCATAAAGCACAGGTGTCATTAATTACAACTAACATTAACATTTGCTGTGGTAAATTAAATTGTGGTTAGCCATGTCAGTGAGACAGCATGCACAATACTATTACCTTGGAGCATGCACACCTGAATGGTTGCAGCCATAATTAATGATAGTAATTACAACTGTGCTTTTCTTGCCACACGTCAAGATGACATGGAGTTCAAAAGAAGGCCACTTATTAAAACAATGTTCACTCTGTTTTTCTAATACAAACTGTCAGAAACCAGCATTTTAAATATAAAGACTTGAATATATTGAGAATTGGTGGATTTAATGCTCACGCTTCTTCTGGTTGAGCACACAGAAAGAGTCTTTCTATTCACCTGTCACATTCAGCTCTCCACAGAGAACAGATGAGGTCAGAAACAAACATGAAAATCAATGCTATCGGCCATGAGAATACATAAGCTATGCAGCTGTAACATATTTGTCTGCAAATGTCCGGTTTTCTTTATTTACCATTACATCTCGGTACATTCTCTTTGAGTGAACATCCATTCTTTAATAAAAAACATTCTTCAATAGCATCCAACAAATAATGTTTAACGCTTTTGTCACCTTGCTCTGTTCTTTATTGTATTAACACACTTTTTAAAAGTTTGATTCCGATATTCCATATTAATGCTTCTGTACAATCTTATTACAATACAATTATTATATAAATGTGCCTGTTATTACAAAATTAACATTGGTTTGTATGTTCAATTGGGAGATCTTCACTTTCTTAAAACACAAAGTGTGTCTCATAAACAACTTCTTGTTTTGTCTTTTTTTTAAGATATAGGGTCAATTTACTTATGCCTAAAAGTCATCAAAGATTAACAAGAATAAAGGTCACACTGCTGTTTTTAAATCTTTGACATGCCAGATAATTTTGGACTTACATTTATACTTCACATACTTTAATTAATGGATGTTTACACTACTATAAATGTTAGCAATAATACGAAATAAATTCATCTGTATAGAGTAAAGTGCATGTTTGTCTATCCTGTATGAGGTTGCTTTGAGCACTTGTTATGAGACAGTAGGAAACACTGTGCTAGTGGGATGTGTGCTGGCATGTGTTGTACGCGAGCTTAATCAATGACATACAGTGTTAAACTCTGCTGCTGTGCTGCAGGAGATAATCCTCATCTGAACGCTCTCCAGTGCTCGCTTAAAGATGGTCAACAATCCATGATAGTCGCCAAGAAATCTACTTTGTAATTATGGACACATTGATGCAAATGCAAACCATTCTTCGTCATGTTCCTGTTTGATAGTGGCTCTTGCATGCATAACGAAGCAATGCCCTCGTATGCTACACACACTGATACGCCCACCCAATCAAATCTCATTCACTCTTGCACATACAGACACTTGGAAAAAACCCACGCAATCACCCACACACCAAATATCAGATAAGAAAGCTCTTCTACGTTCCCATTTCAGCCTGGTTATTGGATGTTTGGTTTTCAATATGACACAAGTGTGATGTATGTGTGTGTGTGTGTGTTTGGGTTGCTGTTTTTTATTCCTGTTTTTAATGTTGTTTGGCTGTGCAGCCACTGAGCAAAATTAATTTATTTTCCGATGGTTGTGTATGAGTGTCTCAGCCAGATGAATTATGCTTTTCTACCATATGTCATTTCCTCTCAGCCTGGCAACACTGGAAGCATTTGGTAACGTGAAAACAAATTATCTTCTGCTGGCTCCTGCTCACATTCAATTAAAGCGGTGCAGAGTAATTATATGGAGGTACAACAGAGTAATAAATGCAAAATAATTAATGAGCCTAATAATCTTTATTCACTGTACGATCCGCTTCATGTTGAGTGTGTGATTCTGTCAGTGTGCGACACCATCGCAGTGACTGAAGTTCCACCGAAGACATTTTTTGTGTATTTAAATCCTGTTTGATTGGATGCGTGCTTGTTATGCTCAGACCTATTATAATCTCTATCACCGTCGCTCATGGAGAAAAT